CACACACACACACACACACACACACACACACACACACACACACACGTGGAAGTGGGCCGTTAAGGCACACGGGGATGTGGGCAGCTGGCGCTTAACCATCATCAGTGTTGCCAGCCTTGTACGTGAGAGGCCTAGTAAGAGGGATGTGTAGGAACAAAATAAACTGGGAGGCCTCCCAACGATAAAAATGATGAATATATTCAAGAAAATGACATAATTGATCTATTGTCTGTCATATTGCTTTTTTGCTAACCGTCTCACTGTTGGGTAACCCCCTCTCAAGTATGCTGCATTGTTTGCATAAAGGTCAGGTTCCTATGATGTTGTGTCTATACTCGTGAAGGCATTGCTTGCATAAAAGTAACGTTTCTATTGTGCCTCATGTTGCTTACTATGGAAGCCACACTGTTTCCATGCTGGGTTGATTCATCTCAACCATGCTCCATCTTCAACAATAGAGGTAAAGTTGCTGCGATTTTGGATCTACTTATCTGGGTGGAACAGGGGATATTGTGGTGAACACACACACACCCACACACCCACCCACCCACCCACCCACACACACACACACACACACACACACACACACACACACATGTTTTGGACAAACCAAGCACTAAGCTCCCTAACATCCCTATCTCTAATCTAGGATCACACGATTAAACCCCAACCTTTCCCTCAACCCGCCAGACAACCCATACTCCTCTCTCTACAGTATATCTGCCTGCACACAGAACACGGCGACAGCCAAACGTCGCACTGGCCCCTCGTTTGTTGTCCTCTTCTCCCTCCCTCTCTGTCTACGGTTTACCGGGCAGCTCTGTTTGACTATCTGTACTGGGAGGCTCTTCTTTGGTTATGGTAGAAAATATTTTTCTTCTCTTCTCTCTCTTTCTTATTCTGGCATCCTTTTTGCTTTACTCTTCCCCATTGTTGGGGTGCTTTGTTTTGCGGACCTACTGTATGGTTCCATTATTTTACTATGGATATGGTAGAATCTGTTTTGGTGGTGATTTTGGCACCCTTGTCTGCATCCCGGTTGGTTTAGTCCCGTTGTTCGGCTTACGGTAGGTAGAGCTCGGCGGCGGTGATTTCATGTGGGACTTGTCCGCCGAGTTTTTCTTATCTTTTTGGCATTCTAGGTGGTTGTTTCCCGTTGTTCGGCCTGTGCGTAGGGGGCGGTGCTTTTTTGTGGGAATCGACATCTAGGATTGTGTTTTGTGTTTTTTTGCTGTTGGTGGTGTCCCAGTAATTTAGTTAGACAAGTGAAGCGGTGACTTGACAGTTTAAATCGATACCAATTTTTGCAACAAGAACAGCAAAATAACAATCGCGAAGGATTCTTGGAGCTGGCGTGCACGAAAGGTACGTTATCTGGGATTGTTTGTTTGCAGGCAAGGGTGTTTTTGAATCCTGGTTGGTCTTGTCCCGTTGTTTGGCCTAATGGTGGGGCCGGTGCTTGCATGTGGGACTTGTCATCTAGGATTGGTTTATGTTTGTTTCCCCCTGTTTTGTTGTATTTGGCTGCTCCCTTCCTCTTTTCTTTGCCTCTTTGCCTTTTGGCTGTGTGCAAGTGGGTCGATATGACACACGGGGGTGGGGGCAGCCACCGCTCAACCTACATCCACGTGGGCAGCCTTGTACGCAAGAGGTTCTGAACAGGGGGAGTTTAAGGAAGAAGATAAAAAAATGATTTCATTTTTCTTGTTTCTTTATGATTTTCTTCGCTTTTGCGCTCTGATATCTTGTGACAATATATATCGTCAAACAGAGCTTCCTGGTAAACTGTAGGCAGTGAGGGAGAAGAGGACAGGCAACAAACGAGGGGCTGTGACAAACTGTTTCGTCGGAGTTTCACCGACTCAGCAGGAGGCTGAACCCTCAACAGTCTGCAGAATCCCCTAACTGATTACACTGTAAGTGACAATTCACCGTAACCCCGGTTGTGGTTAAGCATCAACGACTGCCTGATAACTGCTACCCTGAAGTGCAGGGTTGCATACCTGCCAACCGCCGACCGTTTTCCAGCCGACCAGTAGGGTCGACCGGTCGGCAGTCTGCCGACCAGTCAGAAAACTTGTCCCCTGTTTTTTTTTTCAGATTTGAATTGGGGGCTGTGCTGCGCTTGCTGAGTACAGCCGAAATCCGCTGAGAAACTTTTGGGAATGGGGGGGGGCTATCGGGGGGCTTGGGGGGGGAATATAGGGGGGGTATAGGGGGGTAGAGGGGGGTATAGGGGGGTATAGGGGTGGTATAGAGGGTATTGGGGGGGGGTATGAGGGTGTCGGGGGGCGGTTTGGGGGGGTTGGGGGGGTGTTGGGGGCGTGCGTGGGGGTATTGGGGGCGGGTATGGGGTTGATAGTGGGGTTACAAGGGGTTCTTGACCCCTTTTTTCCTTTTTTTTTTGCGGGGTGCCGATGACCCCCCTAAGGTAGGTGTTGACCAGCCAACCGGTCAGCCGACCAGTCAAGGGCCTCCGACCGTCGGGGTATGCAGCACTGCTGAGGTGTATATATCGTCAAACAGAGCTGGCCGGTAAACCGTAGGCAGAGAGGGAGAAGAGGAGAAACTGTTTCGTCGGAGTTTCACCGACTACCATTAATTTATTATTTTGTTCGTTTTTATCAGTATTGTTTTTGGTATCTGTAAAAGGAGGAAGAGGTAACGACGTCCCTGACCCCCTCCTCTGCACCTCACTTAAAAAAGTACACTCTAGCCTCCCCCAAATGCACTAACAACTGATAATAACGACCGCCCACTTGCCAAAAGACAGATGTCCGTCCACACCCCTCAGAACAGGAATCAATTATATTCAACTATGGATCTGAACCCATGCCCACCTTCTAGCCTATCGTCCTAATGATCGATCCTTCCTGTGTCTGCGCCTATACAATGTGCAGGACGAAGACAGCATCCGCGTGGGTGGCACCCAGTGCTGGCTGCCAACATCAGACCTTTTGCCGCCCTCAAGCCACTCATCGTACCCTGCTAGATTGCCATGCTAGCAATTTCGGCAGACGTACTCCTTCAGGTTCCCCTTGTGATATCCCTCTATCCTGGCGGTGGTAAGAGAACCGTCAAGATCGAGGGCTTATCTGTCGGGCTGCTCCATCTACTGGTGGGGAGCGGCACCTGCTGGAAACCGGGTCCAGCGTCCCATTGATACATCTTGTGGCACATAGATTGGTGATTGTTGTTTTCCTGGGGCTGTGCTCCTTGTTGGCTCATCCCGGGGCTCCTGTATCCCATGGAACTGCTAATGTCACCCATCCCCTTCTTGGAGCACCCCTTATCCCTGAGCCCAGCCCTATTTCAGCAGTCCCCCTATTTGATTATTGTTGTGTCTGTCCCTTTAAACCCTTAAGCCCTCAACAGGCCCCCTGTTATGTCTGTGTTCTATCAGTGATTGTGTGCGGTCCCGGTTGTCTATGTTACCACAACCTTTGAGCCTGCATATTATGTGAGCTGTTTTGTCTGCCTTCCGTCTGTGTTTGGAGGGGGGCGGGAACCTCTCCACCCGGGACCCGGTGCAAGTTACCTGCATTACACACTAGTTCCTCCTTCCCCCCAACAAGGGTCGGTCCAACATCCCTACAAAGACATAGACTTTGCCTACACATGAGCCAACCTACCTCCTTACTGTTACCCGCATCCCTGCAGAAACAGACATTGCCTACTCATGTATGACTGTTGCCTTCATAATCTGCTAAGTGCAGGTGTCCAACCCCCTACGAGCAGACCGACGTCCTTAATGTTGCCCTTACTGATGCCCGTACCATTGCCTTTCTACGATTGACGTGGCTGCCGGGGGAAACATATCTGGGAATTCCTCGGGCCTCTTCATCGGAATGTTGGGGTCGACATGGAGCCAGTCGTGGAACCTGAGCTTGTAGTCCTTGGTGAAGTCCTCTTGCCCCTCCTCATCCCTCATTTCCCCTGGCCAGTCTACCTGGGCCATCCTGCCCCCCCTTTCCCCCCCCAGCCATTCTGCGCCGAAGTTATGGATTTCCTTAGTTATATCATCTTTTTGAGATAGGATTTTCATTTTTTCTTGAACTTTTTTCGATTGCATTCTTATTTCTGTTTCAATAAACTGTTCCACTGTGTCTGCCGCTTTCCCTTCCCCCATCCTGG